GTGGCATGGTCACCAATGCAACGCAATGTTCATGCTTTGTTTTTTAGTATCCTGGCCTTGGGTGGGGGGTAGGGAATTAAATTCAGGCAAAGACTGTTTTAATCTCTTGTCTGTCTTTTCAGTACTGAGCCCTCGGGAAGGGGAATATTCTACAACTCCAGTTTGGAGTTTTTCCCCCTACTAGTGAACAAAGTTTAGCTCCTGAATGGCTTTTTTAGCTTTCTGGAATGAGTGAACTAGCATACTTACTGGTCCAATCCTGAAGGCAGTCCTCCAACTCCACTGCATTCATAGGAGCAAGGCCATGTCATGACAAGGCCTGCACACCATAGCAGTCCACTCTGTGCTTTGCCCTTTTGTTCTCCCAGCTGTTTCACCAATTACTTGTAGGGGCATATTTCTCACAAGAAAACCACTCTCTCTCCAATCTCCCAGTTCTAATCCTCAAAGGGAAGTTATAAAACACCTTTAACGGATAAACCTATGAACTTCACATCAACCTACTGGATACAAAAAGTCATGGACTAAATATACATACTGGATTTGAGAAGCATTATAACCTGCCTAACATTGGACCTCCTAGGTACCTCTCCACTATTTACCAGCTACATTCATTCCCCTCCACCCACCACCCCATCTCTTACCCACTGACTTCTCAATTCATTTTTACTGACTGCTCATCTTACATGCAGCCCAGCCTCTGGCTGCTTTACTATTCATTCCATCCAGGAACAGTGCACACCAACTGCAGATGCTCTCTCAGCCTGATAAAGAGTATTTATACTGGAAAGCTTGCAAAAAAAGAAAAAATATTTTTTTTCAATTATTGGAGTTGGTATAATAAAAGATATCAGATTTACCCAAAGAACCTTGCTGGGGTGTAAACAGACATTTCTCCCAGGAAGTCCATTGTCCTGCGATGAGTACCTGTGAAGCAGGCAAGATGAAGCATGCTAAAACTTATTTCCTCAGGGTAGTGCTGTGTAATTGCAGCTTATGCAAGTTTACTGCCAGTTGGTCTTGGCCATCTACTAGCAGAGGCTTAGCAAGACTTGGAAGGACTAAGTATGCAAATAGCTGTGCCCCTAGCATTCTGAGCCAAGTTAAAACCCAGGACAATCAGGACTACCTCAGATGACTACCTCTGTTCACAGTATGTCCATAGTGGACTAGAACATGTAAAGTTAGAAAACCATGCTGCATGGTAGGAGCTGGCCTTCTGACTATCAGGAGGCAGGGTAGATTTGCACCTTTATAGACTCTAAATCAGAGATGAATAGCATAAGCTTCCATAAGCAACTTGCTTGCTTCAGCAGATGCTGTGAAGGGACTGCAGGAAGTGAGACTGCTAAACAGAAAGCAAGTTAGAATACAAAGGGCAGGGAAGCCAGGGAGGAGATAGTGCTGGGAGAGGCAGGGTGCCTAGGAGAGAGAAAAACAAAGTGGTTAACCCATTGAAGGACAGAGCTTACAAGCTAACCCAGGTAATGGGATAAGAACCCAGTCTTGTTTTAGACTATACTTAACACTAACCAATGCATGGACAATTTCTTGTTCCATAATTTTCTGTTCGTACTCTTTTTTAAAGTTTTGTTGTCTAAAAACAGCCACTCTGAGGTCAGCAATAGAATGTCCAGAGAGGTTTAAGTATTCTACCACAGGCTTGTCTGTCTTTCACAGATAACAGATCAGTGTCCATTATACAGAGATTGTCCC